CTGTAACATGTCTGACTAAGAATGAAGAGTAAAAAGATTAGGCATTTATGTGGATGGTAAAAATAGCTACTATTGTTAGGAAGAACATAAAAACTTTTACAGATCTAAACCTTGGTACTTTAGGGAAATAGAAACCCTGTAACAGATGGAGGAAATCTGACTTTTGGGATTAGTTTCATGCATTTATCAGAAACATTTGTCTGTTGCCCTTCTGGAGTCTGGGTATTGATCAGCCATGTGGAAGACTGTTCTTATTCACAGAATCACAGAAGCACAGAGTGGGTCAGGTTGGAAGGGGCCACACAGGGTCATCTGGTCCAACCTCCCTGCGCAAGGAAGCCATCCTAGAGCACATGGCACAGGATTGCATCCAGGTGGTTCTTGAATCTCTCCATTGAGGGGGACTCCACACCATCTCTCAGCACAATCTGTTCCAATGCTTGGTCACCTGCAGAGTAAAGAAGCACTTCCTCATATTCAGGTGGAACTTCCTCCTCATTTTTTTTTAAATATACACATGGACACAGATGAAACAGTGGGCAAATTCRTAGGCCTTGACTCAATTTGTCTCTCATAGAATGTATTATTTTCATACAATGTATTACTTTCATGTGGCACATATATATATATCTKCAGGAACTGAATATTAAATTGGACCTCCTATCTCTTTTTAACTCTCTTATTCTATGAAGCCAAGTTTTTTAATAGTGGGCTAAATGCTTTCACTGTCATTACAACACAGTGAAAGGGGAGTCTGTTGATCCATATTTAAGGAGTTGGGCAGAAAAAAAAATGAAAGACTAATTTGGGGGAAAGAAAGTTTTAAGACAACCCACCTTGTTCTCTTAATTAAAATGAAGCTATCTGAGAATGATGTGGAGGATATTTAGGCTGACATGGAAGCTTAAGCTGGCTGGAGTGTGATTGTCTGCTGAYGATACAATTATCTTTCAATGGCATCGGATGGCAGCAGTACTAGAATGTCCATACAAAAATCAATTGAAATAATCAATGATAATGACCGATTTATAGGCAATTTTCATTCTTATCACAAGAAAAAAAWAGCTTCTCTGAGACAAAACTAAACAGCCAAACTTACCTAAACTTGCTCAACTAAATTGATATGTAATTATCACCTGGAAGGCAAAAAGAATCTCACTTGTGYGTCATTTTCTGTAAGAACCTGAAAATCGTGGCTAGGTTGTAGTAACATGGATTCAGACTGTCTTATAGCATTGAACTGTTAATTTCAATGTGCATCATGTAATAAACAGCTGGTTAGAGGCTATTTCTAAATCCTTCTCTKTGCACTGCTTTTCTACAGGGGTAATTGCACTCAAAAGGGACCTTTCATTCCTTGATTAAGAGGTAAGCTCCACAGTTGGCTGTGCCTTTGACTTATTCCTGTTCTTCATCTCTGTTTTWGCAGTGTGTGCAGGGTCCAAGGTTATTGCATCTTTTACTTAAGGTTTAAGATTTTCAGATCTGCAATCTAAGAAACTACTCACCCTGAGAAAAGTAACTATTCCCATTAAGGCAAGGCAGTAAAATTAAGTAAGTACAGGGATAAGGGCCATCCTTATCTTATGATCTAGTACTAGGAATCTGCTCCTCTGAGCAGGCACCTGCAGCAACCTTTTCAAAAACTAAATATGTTTTCCTTATTTTATTTGACTAGGCAGAGATGCCASTTCCTGATAAAATAGTCAAGAATTTAGATGGTTCCACTTTTAACCAAAAAAATCCACATTTGTGGCTTTCCTTAAAATAATTTTCTGCTTACAGGTGGAATGTTCTGGTCATAGAGCTATTACTGGAGATGTGCCTGTTCCTGCAGCCATTTCAAAAAAGACAGTGTGGCTGTGTTTTGTCATATGCCTGGTTCTGATATGTTCGAACTGCTATGATAGTGTCTGCCAGACCTAGCATGGCATGTGGATTCCTGTGGAGAATGGGGTGAAAAACTTAGCTCACAAACTTTGATGTCAATGTAAATGTAAATACATGAGCTAAACACTCTAGACTCTGGTTTTGATCCAAGCAAAAAGCAGTTATTTTTAAGATGCGATGCCTTTTTCATACCTACTTTAGGATGAATCTGCCTTAAGAGCTGTTGAATATGTTGACTAAATCTCCATCAATTATCAAGCAGAGTAATTGACTTTAGTGCTGATGCTTAATTTGGTTTAGTGGACACTAGTCATAGATTCCAGATACAGGTTTAACTTAGGGTACTCACACTGGAGTGGTTCTGGTCCCATGGGAAAGCTGGTGGTCTAAAGTTCARAGTGAAGGGAAGTGCCTACTGAGCTCAGGCACTAAGAATAGCCAGAGCTGAGGGAGAGTGTTGGGGATTGTGGTTTTGGAATGAGGATTTAGTTGGACATAATGACTGTCCTGCTGGTTGAGAGACAACACCTGATTGCACAACTGCACTAAAACTGGGTCGCAGGAAAGTAAAACAGGCTAGTTTGTCTACCATGGATGCAATAAATTCCAGGTGAAGGACAGGAAGTAGCTTAGGRTGGTAACTTCATAGATTGCTTGACTAGGCATTGGATACATCTGTTAGGTCAAAGTACTTTATTACCTCTAGCTCTACATGATTTAAAACAATCAACCCTTTAATCTCAAAAAACATATGTAGAAAAGGCGTGCACATATGATTCTAGAAATGTGCAAAACATGAAGCAGAGGATATTACTCAAATGAGAATATTATTTTATTTTTAAGATTAAAAAACATAGAATCCATAGTTTAGTTTGGAAAAGACCTTTAAGAGCAGTGAGTCCAGCTGTTAACCTAAGACTGCCAAGCMCRCCACTAAGCCATGTCTCTAAGYGCCGCATGTCTTTTAAATACCTCCAGGACTGGTGGCTCAAGTACTTCCCTGGGCAACCTGTTCCAATGCTTGACAACGTTTTTGCTGAAGAAATATTTCCTAATATCCCCCTGGCTCAATTTGAGGCCAGTTTCTCTTGCCCTATTGCTTGTTATCTGGAAGGAGAGAATGCGGAGAACTTTATACTCACACCAACATTAGATGGCAGAATGCATTGAAATCTAGACTAGTAATTGTAACAAAGAAACACACTGAGGTGTATAATCCACAGTAAACTAATTGACCTGTTCTCTCTGTTGCTACAGATCATACTGCTTTTTAAATAAAATTTTTAAGGAACCAAATATTCCTGAGCATTTAAAAATACGTACAAGTTTCTTAAAAATGTGCTCAGAAGTTGGATGTAATTATTAGACTGAGGAAATATTTGCCATTAAAAGCCTTAGTTATTCTTTGTCTTGAAATATATATAATTTGACTTTGAGAGCATTAATTATGCAGCATTATAAGTAATTTTACATTAATTAACTTTTAAAAATATTTGTTTTAAACTTAAACTCACTCAGAATTAAAATTACCTTTTATGAGTGCAGCTTGATTTATATTTGAAAATAATTGAGCTGAACTGAATGATTCTAAATAAGTCCATATCTCCCTATCAGGAGTTAGCACAATTTAAATAACTTGGATTTCCTGAATGTCCAACTAAATCTGATTCTTGTATTTGTGCATGATTCTTACTTTCTACAGTGACTGCATAAATCAGAAGGTAGTATGTCCATCATACTTGTTGAATATACTGTCAATAATTTGTCCTTAAGCTTTTTCTTTTATAAGTTAATTTGTCTCTGGCCAAAGCTTGCTTTCTGAAACACTGAATTCATGTGTGTGTGGTTCATTTGTGTATATGATGTGTACAGATAGACAAAGATAAAGCAGATTGGAACTGAAAAACCTTTGGTTCAATGTATCTTCCTCACAAAACTGTTATTAGTGCCCTGCCTATGAAGTTTTAAATTTCAGATCTGTTTTTAGAATGTGCTTATCTACTGCTTTCATTAGTGCTGTGTTACAATTTATTTGTAGAGGCTGGTAGAGGAAAATTCAAGAAGAGCTCCAAATTTTTGTTGAACGCAAGTAACAGCCTTGACTTTTGTAACCAGCCAGGCTACAGCTCATATTGCATTAGAAAATAATCTCTTATRCCAGAGGGAGGCTCTCAGTAAACCCTGGCTGAGGGTTAACATGTGGTCTCCCTCTGGGAACTAACCAGGGAATTAACAAGAGGCACTAACGGTGCACATTGCACTTTTGCACAGTGTTAAAACAAACTTAAGTTTGGGATAACTTGGGTTACATTCTATGCACAGCTAGTGTGAGTGGCTCATGTTGTCCTTTACTTTTGCCTGTACCTTACCTGGAAGGCTCTGCTGTTGGCATTTGCAAGCCACATGAAATTAGGTCCACATGAGGTATTACATCCATATGCTTCAGAAGCTGCTATTAGATGCAGCTGAGAAGGTCTTCTTCATTATGTGCACATATGCTAATACAAAAAAAGAAAGAAAAAGTAGAAGACAAGCTGGACTTGGTGTAAATAAGTGTAACRTTTTTAAATCAGTGAAACTTATACTGTGTGGAACTGTTTCTTAATACCTTCAGACCTGATTTTTGTCTCCTGTGAAATACGAACAGAAAATTCAAATTGTGTTTGAATCATGTTGCCAAGGCAGAACTTATATGTACATCCTGCAGTTGTATGGAATGTGTRCCAGCATAGAATGTATAGACAAACATGGGGAAATTCCCTAAAAGTACTTTCAAGTTCATATATGGCAGAAAGGGATGTTCTATGTACATGTACCACTTTACAATCTGAGCCTGCAATGTCTCAGACCTTTTTAGCTATGTATGTTGTTGACAAATGTATTTTACCTAATGTGTACAAATATTAGAAATAGGGGTGACTTTCTAATAGTATAGAAAGTAATAATATAGRATTTACTGTGTCAAAGAAATCTTCACACTGATTTGGTGGGTCAAATGAATAAGAAAGTCTGTCTTACAAGCTTTCCTAAGTCAYTGGTAAACTGGTTCCTAAAACACAGAAGGGACTTTGTTTGTCTGCTTTTATTTTTTTTGTTTGTTTGTTTTTAGAATGGGTAAAAAAGTAAAGAAGGAAGAGTCTCCACCCAAGGATGTGGTAAGTTTATAAACTGCTATGTGCCATAAAATAAACATTACACAATTATAGGCCCAGCTCTACCATCCTTACTTAGTTCCTTATTCTCCTAGTTTACCCACATTATTCTAAAAATGGCTTTTAAAGATGACTCTGTTTTTGCTTTTCTTGGACAGCGTACAAACCAGAGTGACTGGGCATGTGTAGTTCTTTGTAGAGATTGTTGTCTTTGGCAGGCATTGCAAACAGTAATGTATGAAACAATCCAGGCTTCTTTTTATTCGAAGAACAGTGTTAGCTTTCTCTTTGTAACAATCAAAGGAGAAAGGAGAAGAGAGACCTGAAATCTGCCTGTCTTTTCAACTGTGAAGACATACTCTTCCTTTAAGGATGAAAGAGTTAAGAGCCTAGATGGATCTGCAGAGTTTTTTACTGAATACACAATCTGACAAATATTTTGAATAATACTACATACTCTGGCTCTTTTGCAAATATATACAGTSTTTAGAAGCAATTTAGGTTTTTTGTTGTCATTGGAAGTACAGTGAAAAGTACAAGAACTGAAGCCAAATATATCATAATGGTGATGGTGTGRCTTTTTTCAAAAGGTGGAATTTAAGGGTTTGGCACTAGGACACTTTTTGAGAGTTTTTATAAATTCACAAGGTATGAAGAGACCCCCAAAAAGAGAAATGTTCAACATATAACTATTTTTTAAAGTTAAATTGTTTTATTCAGAAAGAAGTAGAGGAAATATAGAAAYATTGAAAAGAGTATAGTATAAATTCTGTGAATTTACTGTAACCAAATTAATGAAAATGGGCACCTCAGTAAGTCCTACGGAGGCAGTTCCAGTCCCTCAATGAGTCCCAGTAAATRCAAAGTTCAGTACACTGTTTTTAAAAACAAAAAGGATTTATGTGTAAAGAATTGTAGTACTGCAAGAACTTTTTCAAAGGTCACAGAAAAGTTAGTCAGCAAAAATTACATTACAATTGCAATATTAAATAAGCATAAATAGTTTTTACTAAGRCAGTAATATCCAATAGCCATGATGTCACAGAGACATAGCAGTTGTCATMAGGTTTACCACACTGTTTTGTGGAAAGGTGAGTATTACAAATGTAATTCATAAACTTCAATCAATAATAAATTCTTATGAAAGGAGATTACATAAAACTTCCATGTAACATATATGTATAAAATCATCTAGAAAGCCAGGAATCACAAAGAAGGTGAATAAGTCTAATTTWAAAAGGCCTGAAGAATCAAAAACAAGTATCTTTGCAGTCTAAGAAAAGGTTTGAAAGGCATGATGACACACTTAAGTCATACATGAGCTGAAGTAATAAAAGTTGTCTTTTTCAGTAAATCTAGAAAACCAGTAGATGCAGCATCACAATTTCTAGATCCAAATGATACAGTTAGATTTTCTAGATAAAAGTGTGGTACAGCCTACTATGTACTATGATAACCTGTGAATACACAGAAAAAGTCAGTAAAACTATCCAAAAGGAATCAGTTGGAAAGAGTGAATTCCAGATGGCATCTACAGCTTTTGGCTCAGTTTTTACCCTTATTGTACTTCAGGCTAGCATATCTGTTCCGACTGCCGTAGCAGTAGAAAAGAATCCTGAATGTTGCATATAAAGACAGTATTGAACATGTAAATAGATAATTGATTAGTTGTAACTATTAATGAAGAAAATCTTACCATGATGAGAATRTTGTTGGTAACCATTATGTAAAATCAAATCTGAAAACTTGAAATTTCACCTGGGTATTTCYGATGGGAGGAAATGAGATGCAGACAAAATAAAAGATGTATTAGCTGTTATCTTCTGATTGATAATCTGTTTATGAAAATGTCAAGTCCTAGAAAAGAAGCCTTGAGATAATGTAGACGGGCTTGTAAAAGAGGGTCTTTGTGCACGCAGAGTACTCTGAGAATATATGGTACTGCAGATGATCAGTAATTTTTTTTAGATTTCTAGGAACAGGTGGGAAACACATCTCTTAGCCTAGCCACTGCTTACATATTTCAGGAAGTATTCCTGAAGATTCTGTTTTCCTGCCTTTCATAATTTGTCTTTTACTATTCTGTGTTCTGAGAATTGGTCTCCAACAGGAAAAACATTGCTTTGAGCCTCTATCTCTATATGAATTACCKAAGACAGTAATTCAGGCAGATAAAATAAACTAGCTTTGACATAGATTGATAGGAACTTTTCATATGATATCTACATTAAGTTTGGTCTAGACAATATTATTATTCAACCATTTTAGCTAAGTCASGGACAATGAAAGGGGAGCCTAAGATTATCCCTAGAGAAAATACTGGAGTGTTATCAGTTAAAGAAAGCTACAGATAACTTGGTGGATAAGTCTAACTATTTTTGAAAATGGCTTCGTTCACAAGACTGGTGTTAAGAAAAGGTGAAACATTTGAATTCSTACAGTCAGCTCCTGAATTTGTCTCCACATAAACACCTTCTTTTGATTAATGCCTAAATATTAATTTGACCTGAATTTAGTGAGGCTTTCAATACTGTCTCTTGTAACATCCTCATAGGTAAACTGGTGAAGTACAGACAAGATAGATAGACAGTGTAAATGAACTGAAAAGTAGCTGAGCTGACAGCCTCAAAGAGATCAGCAGCATGAGATGCTGTAAGAGGTCAGGTGCTACTGTTGTGCTCCAGGGGTTAATCCWGGGGTGGATACAGTTTAACCTCTTCATTAATGACCTTAATGGTGGACAGAGTGCAACCCCTGCAAGTTTGCAGAAGATACGAAATTGAGAGGAGTGATTGATAGACCACATGGTTGTGCAGCCATTCTCAACAAACTAGAGAGGTAGGAAWTTGGGAATTTAATTAAGTTCAATAAGGGGAAATGGCAAAGTCCTGCACCTGGGGGAAGAATATCCGGTGCAGACTGGGTGATGACCAGCTGGAAAGCAGCTTTACAGGAAAGAACCTGGTGATTCTGGTGGATATGCCCCAGCAATGTGARCAATGTGAACTTGGGACATACTGACTTGAAAGAAACCCAACAAAACCCTGGGTATTAGGTAGAGCATTGCCGCAACTTGAGAGAGGGGACTCTTGTCTTTCACTCAGCTGGTGAGTGAGACCACACCTGGAGTGCTGTGTCTTGTTCTGGGTTCTCTGGTGCAAGAGAGACAAAGGCCTTACTGGAACTAAGTCTTGGAGCATTTGTTATAGGAGGAGAGACTGACAGCTGGGACYGCTCAGTCTTGAGAGAATGCTCGGAGGGGGTCTTGTCAGTGTAAAAACTGCTGATATGAAGAAGTAAACAAATCAGGCCAGGCTCTTCTCAGTGGTACCCAATGGAAAGATGAGAGGCAGTAGGCACAAATGGAAATGCAGGAGGTTCCATTTAAGCGTAAGAAAAAATTTCTTTTTTACTGTAACTAAGATGGAGCATGGCATAGGTTGTCAAGAGAGCTTGTGGAGTCTCTGTGCTTGGAGATACTTAAAATCAAACTRTGCACTAGCCCTGAGCTCTAGCCCACCCTGCTCTGAACAGGGTAGTGTGACCAGATCATCTGCAGAGGTGCCTTCTAATATCAACTATTTGTGATTCAATGGAATATCTTAGGTTTTATTGTTCATATAGGAAATTAGCCAATCACAGAACTGAAACAATCAATATGTCCAGRTATCTAGTAGCTCTGCTTTTCTAGGTAAAGGCAAAGGGATTAAGAATATCAAAGCTATCAGTAGTGCTTTGGGAGAGAACTAGCAAAGGTACAAAAATTAGCAATAAAGCTTTTTCAAATTGACTAGATACAAGATGCTTCTTAGAGGGACACTATTAGGTGATTGCAGTCATGAAAGGAAAGCAAAATTGCTTATTTTTGTGTCAGAAGACAAAGCAATGTGTTAATCACTAAAATAAATTTTATAAAATTTCCCAAGTAAGAATAAATAATATTTGCCCAGGTCTTGTGCTAGATAAAAAATAGCTAACATCTGAAATTGTGGTACTGTTACCTATCATATTTAATGAGTACCCTTTGTACAAGAAGAATGGAGGGCAGGAAATTTCATTTTCAAAAGGAAATACAGCAATAATTATAGGAAGTTTTTCTTCTGTGCTGTGTTATTTGGTAGAAATAGTTATGGAAAGAAAACCAAAACTAAAATCAAACCAGTGGATAAATACGATAGTAATGGGGGAGAATCAATAGTGCTTGTGTAGAGGAAATTTAAGCTATGAAATCGACTTCAGTTCTTTGGAGGAGTCAGTGAGCAAGTGGATAAGGTATTCTGATTAATACAGTTACTTAGCCTTTTCAAAAGTTTTCAGACCAGGCTTTTCACTCACATAAACGTGAACAGATAAAAAGAAATTCCTCTCCTAGCAATAATGTCTGGTTATAAAATAGGAAGCAAAGGTGAGAAAACAAGTTACTGTTTAGATTTCCTAACGCAGAGAAGTTGCCAGTCGGGTTTTGCTCTGCAACYGTGTGATCCAATGTATCAAAATGAATGTGGATATTTTCATGATAATGGCATTCAATTCCAAAGTAGGAAAAAGTGAAGAAGTACAACATTTCAAAATCTGGAAATAAAAGAAAAAGCATCATGTTAGTAGCAAATGCATTATACATGCACATGAATGCTATTAACAATTCTGGTGTTTCCATCTCAAAAAGGTACAGTGGAACTGTAGAAAGACAATAGAATGACCTAAGGACGAACTAAGACAACAAGAACAGACAGAGTGGCTTCTGTTTTAGCAAAGATCAAAGGGAATAGGTTTCTTCATTCCCAGACGGAATCACTGTGAAGAGGAGTATCATAGAGACATAAAGACGTACAAAATTATGAATATACAGGGAAGGGAAAGGTGTGTAATTKATTTCCCTTTTTCTTATGGTGAATGAACTGTGGAGGACAAATAAAATAATCAGGTGGTATTTTTAAAATGAAGAAGAAGAAGCACAGTTATTTTGTGACTTTTGAACTGTGCTACTTGTGTCTCAGAATATTAAGGGTAGTTAAAATACAGATGGCTTCAAAAATTATGTACTGAATTTTTCTTGGACTTTTTGATCATAGAGATAATATCACTGRGCTTTCCAGTTCTCTAGGTTGCAGAGTGCTGGAATCTGAGAGGAAACATAAGTAAAATTTAATAGTCTCTTGCCCACACCTGTTACATGGCCTTTGTCAGAGACAGGATGCTGGGATAGATGGGAAATTTGGTCTGACTGGAAACATATTTTGTATTACATTCAATTTCAACTAAATTAAGTTGATGGAAGCAAAAAGCAAAAACAAAAACCAAAAAACAAAAAAAACCCAAGAAAACCACAAACCAAAACCAAACCCCACATACTCTTCAGTTTCTAATGCCTTTGAAGTGAAAGGTGCACAAAAGTCAAGATCAAAGACATGTAGAAAGATTTGAGTTATATCTTTCTTTTTCTTTTAACTTGCTTTTTTCTTAGTACAAACAATATTGGAAATATTGTTGCTTATAAATCAGTTAAATTTCTATATTTAATTCAAGGTTGTTTGTAACTTCAGGTATATTATTCTGGCATATCATGTTCTGTATGTGCCATTACAGGAAGAGTCTCAATGATATATGAAGATTTAAATGCAACCCCTGATTAAAAAAACAGGTGTAACACTAGCTATGCTGGCATTATGAAAAGGAGAAGTCATAACCAGTTCTATGACAGTTTTGATGAACAATGTTATTTCCCAGCAAATCACAGAATCACAGAATGATTCAGGTTGGAAGGGACCACAGTGRGTCATCTGGTCCACCCTCCCTGCTCAAGGAGGCCCATCCCAGAGCACACAGCACAGGAYTGTGTCCAGATGGTTCTGGAATATCTCCAGTGAGGGCGAATCCATACGCTCTCTGGGCAACATGTTCCCATGCACAGTCACCTGTACAGTAAAGAAATTCTTCCTGAATCACTCACCTGCTCAGGTCTCTGACTTCTTAAACATACATTGATTTTAGGGACATTTTTTACTGTGTTTTCAGCACAAACCTGCTTTTAATAGAATGCCTRTTGAATATTTCAGACAGTAATAACGAATCTATTGTCTGATCAAATGCGTAAAAATTAGACTAATTGCACTCTGCTCATGTGCCAACCTGACATTAAACCTTAGGAATTTTCATTGAGCTGTGGTTTATACAATTACTTGTGAACACRAGAAATACTGAAAATGGAGCAATGCAATTGTGACTTTGGTATTAGATCMATGTATAAATAACTGAGATCTAAAACTTATTTCATCTTTCATTTCATATTGAACTTCATCTGAGATCAGTATTGGTGTTTTCCTTTTCTCTGAAGAGCTTACAGCCTTTTCTAAAACTTGGAGCTTTATCCCATCACCAAGTATTTGGCCAGACTCAGGAGATACGTCTGTGCTTAAATAATAGCACTTACCTTAAGGATCTTGTTCTGTCCATGCGAAGACCCCATGAAGGAGGCTAAAGGGACTTTCAGTCAYCTTTAAGTTCTCCCATGAATAGAATGAACTGTGATAAGCTGAWTTTTTTTGCCTCCTTTCAGTCCAAGAATTCCCATAAACAATTCCATCATTTTTGGCCCATCATTAGGATGTAACTTGCACCACCATGCTATTATTTGATTTAATTCCTGTTCCAGAGTCATTATTAGGCAAAATGACTTTTGGTACAGTAAGCTGATTATGTTTTTGTTTTTTTTAGAAAAGAGCATTTTTCCATTACTTGGCCCATGCCACCACCTTGTCACAGCAAACAGGAAATTGACGGTGTCTTCAGATTTTCAGACTTCATTCAAACTATGTAGACCAGTTAAGCACATTAGGCAGGCCATCTCTTCATGAAACTTGTATGTTGAGGTTGCTGCCTGYTAAATTGTGTGATCTGTCTAGTGGAAGATGTTGAATTATTTAGATTTAAAAACCTATCAAAAATACTAATTTAAAAGTCTTGGTGCTAGTATCGTATTTTGTCTTATTTTTGAGCAAATCAGAGAAGGGAGAAGGAAAAACCCCTCCTCTGTGTTCATTTTTCTTCTAGCACACCCATAACATTTTTTAAGATTTGCTGCCCATAATTTCCTTGAGTGACAACTGATTTGTATGTGTCTTCATACCTTTATTATTCAGCAGCATGTTCCTCTGATGTAGCTATTAGAAGTTTTTTTAATGGAGCTGACCAAATAATTGTAATTTGTAAATATATACGTATATATATTATGACAATATTTTAATTAATTTGTACTGCTGTCCTATAATCTGCTATATTTTAAATATAAATGCATTGGTTTTGAGAAAGTGTATGACATCAGTATTGTAGTTTCTATATGTAACATAGATACTCTATAAGCCTGAAGTGTGAGGACAGAAGACAGTTTTTCCATAGTAACTAATTACTTTAAATTCGAGGAGGCTCAAAACTTTTTGATGAGTAGAATTTTCAGAAATCCTTGTGTCTTTTTAAGAAAAAAGGGCTTTTTTAGAAGATTCCCTTACTCAAGTAATGTTAGTCCTAAGGAGTCTATTGAGAGSGTGAAAACTGATTTGTTGGAAGATTTCTTTCTGCATGAAAGAGCTTAGAAATGGAAATGAAACCTTTGTATCATTTCTCGCTGGGTGAGCAGGAATTAYGTTTTGGAAATACTTCATCTAGTACAGGATCATGGTGAGCTGATGAACTGAGCTGACAAAAGCACAGAAAGTGTTCTGTTGTATTTTAAGCAACCACAAAATTTCATTGCCACAGAGTAACCGAATCCTCTTCSTTGTACACCACCTGAGTTCACAGGCTCTCTGTACAGCTGTGCAAAAGAAACTTCTCATGCCTGCTTCTGAAGCCACAGAATGCYCTTACATGAGTAACAACTACATGGTTTGTTACCTTCAAAACTTTCTAGACTTGCAGGGAAGTGTCAAGGTTTTCCCAAAATCTTCATACATKATGAAATTGTGGTTATATTTATTTGGAAGTCAATTATTCTTTCTTATTTTTAACAACGTCTCTAACTGTTATTTTAAAAAATGTATTTTTTTCCAAGTAAATAGCAACTCATTGGTATTTCTAATTCAGTGTGGATATCAAACGAGGTTTTATTTTTAATGAAATGTGKGAGTCTACTGCAGCACACGGGAAGACTCAGTATAAATCAAACTTTTCTTTCCCTTTTTTTTTGTTCTGGTTTTTTTTTTTGTTTGTAGTTTGATCCCTTATTGATTGAAAGCAAAGCACCAGTAACAGCTGTGCTAATGCTTAGCTCGCCTGAAAACGAAGTTTTGACCAAAGCATGTGAAGCTCTGTATAAATTTGCATCAAAAGGTTAGTCTTTTTGCAATGAGCTTTGTTTTKCACTGCTTTGATTTTTGTCGTAGTTCACAATTCTTCAGTTTCCTAGCATTAAAATCTTACTTTCTTSTCAAAGGTGTCTATTGAAGTTTGGTTGGATAGGTGAAGTACCTATCCAGCCTGTAGTTGCAGTAAATAAAGAAATCTTACAATCTGCATGAATGAAAATTTTATCGTTTTGTTGTAGAATTTTATATTCACTGTTTAATAGGGCTTCTTTTAAATATAACATAGATATATATTCTTTATGAGCAACAGATCCACAATTGGGAAAGAATTCTCTTATGTTACAGTTTGAAACTTCTGTACCAGTGTAGTTATTTTAAGGTTCAGTTTTCAATGAAAGGAACTTCTTAGCTTTTTTCTGGTTTCTTTTCTTTTTCCATAAAGTTGCTGTGTCAGTATTTCTGTGCAGATGATTTATTGAAGACTGTTCAGCCTCCTTTATAAGACTTATTTCAATATGTGTTGGGAATCTAACAGGTCTCCAAGATTCCAAATCTTCCAACACTCCCTGTATAATCTATAGCTATATGTCATGTTCAAGGTACTCAGGAGACAAACAACTGTAYGACAAAAGCTCAAATTTCTGTAGCACATAATTTCCTAAATTGTCTCCTACTTATTCCATTTTGTTCAATATTAGTCACTSAAATTGGTATACACTGGTAGTATTCTTGCTCTGATTAATCTGGTTTAATTTTAATTTCCATTTTATTTATGTTTTCTTAAAAAAATATGTATTAATACASTGAATATTATATTGATGTAAATTACCTACACTGCTGAAGTTGTGAGAGAAGAGCTGAAGTCTTTGACAATTGGCGGGGGGTCATTGGATTCTGAAAGATGTTTAGGTTCAGTTTAAGATGGCAAGCTTGGCTGAGGGCATGAGATCAAATTCTGAATATGTGCAGTGAGAATCTGAACTGTTGATCCAGATTCTGGATTCTTGCTGGCTCCTTCCCTTCTGTCCACAGAAAAATGTCACACTGTAAGAGGACAGATGTTTATGGCTTTTATGTTTATACTAAAAGACTAATCTTTTACATTATTCATATAGATGTTCCTGCAATCTTCCAGAAGACTAGACTGTAACTTTGCAGTGTGGCACAAGAGAAGGAGTTGTTTTCAATKAATTAATAGCAGTTAATCTATTTCTTTAAGTGTTTCAAGTAAATTAAGTCTCATCCCTCAATAAAAAATGCTTCCTCCATTTTAACCATGTCTGGCCTGAGAATGAGCGTGAGTCTCCAGTTTCCTCTCACATTGCTCACTTGTAGCCAGAAGGGCAGGCATGGTTCATTAGAAAATAAATTATAAAGCTGTTGTGGGAACTGAGAATAGGAGTAGGGTTGGGATTTTTTTCTTGGGGTTTGTGTGTGTTTTGCATGAGCAGGAACAGAAGGCTGTAATCACACTAARCTCCTCTGTTCTTTGCATGTCCAGCACCTATTCACCTACAAAGCACTTCATTCTCAGGTGGTAAAAATCTYGAGTAGGAATTAATGATACAAAAGCTGGTAGTTGCTCCCCTTGAGGGATATTAAAGATCCACAGAATTAATGAACTGGTGTTTTGAGGAAGAAAAAACTGGGAGGCAAGAAAAGAGGAAAATAAAACATGTTTACCTGATACTGGTCACCTGTACTTTACTAAGTAGAAAACTTTCTTCTGTACTTCCACTGCAGTCTCCAACAAGAGAGTTGAGTGTGCAACAGACAGAAGTTTCCTTTGTTTTAAAAATGTGAATTAATCTTAAATACTACTAATCCTTGAAACTATTTGACACATATTTATTTGGGGTATAAATTAGATGATCTCCCAAGGACCTATCAGGCCTCTGTTCTTTGATTCTATTGTCCAGTGAAAGATTGGAAGCGGTTTCACTTCAGAGCTATGAGGTTGCTGGCATTTTTCTTGGGCTTTTAACCCAATTTCTTTTCAGATGATGTAAACAAAGTGACACTTCTTGGTCTTGGAGCATTGGAACAACTGTATAAACTCATCTCACATGAAGATCCAATAGTACGCAGAAATGCCATCATGGTATTTGGCATCATGGCCTCTAATCGTAAGAGTCTCAATTTTTAACTATTTTTCAATGTGTGGTCATCAAAACAAGAGATAGACCATGTGAAAAAATCCTGTATTAATGGCCTACAATAAAGAGTAAGTGATGTAAGGTTGAGTTTCACTGGCTGTTATTTTTATAGTTCTTTATAGACCTATATCTGATTAAGACAATTAAGCAGGTCTTAATTTGAATAATGTTCCACCCAGTTGTCTTCCATGAGGATATCTCAGCTGCTTTCTAAGTCTTTTTATCAGCTGCTACCTGCTTTCCATGCTGCACTGGACCTTACCCTCTTGGCTTACTTTTAATTTGGCATTAACATGTAGTCAATGCTGCTTCATGGACATGGATTTGAATGAACAAAGATCTCCCATTTATATTAACATCTTAATTGTTTTCTTATTTAAAAGTAAATTAAACTCATACCTTTTTTTCTTATATTTCAACATGTTGAGATCATTGATAATAACAACACAGCTCTGTAGGATTGCACGAAGCCTGTCCCAAAGAATATTATTTGATTTTTCTGTCCAGTGGTTGTGGTTTTTCTAGTTTGCCATTAGCAATAATAAAAATACAATCTGAAAGTCTTTACTGGGATTTTAGTAAGACCTGTGTAATTCATGTTTTCCATTTGCTGTGTGGGCTGGCATTAGCATAAAATTGCAAAGTGATGGCTTGAAAACTAAATAACAGAAGGATTGCTTTCAGTTTGATAATTTTAACCACCAGTAATTTTAACCATCAGGGTACGACTTCTTTGGCAACCAAAATAGCACAATATTTAGTCAGAACTTATTAGATTCAAGTATTTTGAATAAAGTTTCAATGAAATATAGAGGAACTTCATATCTATCAAATGTCAAAGAATGTCATCTGCTACTTGAATGTTCTTTTTTTTCTGGGCCCATTATGGTCTTGGTCTAACTTTAGCTGTGTCTTTCCCAGTCAGATCTTTTTGTCATTTGGGGAGTAACCATAAGTACATTTTGCTTGGAGCAGATTCTGTTTCTTTACTAGCCAACATTGCCAAACAAAAGACTTCATATTTGTATTTACTTCATTGTAGATGATGTCAAGAAGTTACTGAAAGAACTGGATGTCACAAATGCACTTATATCACAGCTGACGCCAGAAGGTACCTTACAGTATTCATTCCTTGTGCAAAAGGCCAGTCAGAAATAATTTATGATTTCCATTTTATCAGACAATTTAATAAAATTTTCCCTGTAACTTATGCTTTGTCCTACTGCATGTTAAACAGGTAAATGCTTTTAGAGGAGTAACTCTGTAGCTCCCTGAGTAGATTTTTATGTTGTACAGATGGAAAAAGATGTTTATGGTCATATCGTGTATGGTTAACAGCTATTATTTATTGACTTCAAATAGTATTTTAAACTACTGGTTTAGTGAACATACTCTGTGCTGAATAAAACTTGATCAAAGTGTTTCTTTTTTTTTTTTTCCACAGAAGATGTAGTTATCCATGAGTTTGCTACTCTATGTTTAGCATATATGGCTGTTGAATATACTGTTAAAGTAAAAATATTTAAGCAAGGTGGGTTAGAACCACTTATCAGACTGCTAGGTAGTCCTGATCCTGATGTTAAGAAGAATTCAGTTGAATGTATCTACCTTTTGGTACAGGTAAAGTTTGTTCTTGTTGTCTTAAATTACAGAGGCAGATAAGCATTGGAACCCCTACCCTTGACATTCTGTGGGGGTTAATAATTTGAAAATATTTGTTTCCTTTACTCCTCAGTGTTCCTCAATGTATTTGAAATGAGTCCTTGAATGTAAAATCAGTTATGAATATAGCTGATTTTACTTTAATTCTGTTGAACTTAATGCAATTATCTGTGCTGTACACTAGTATAAATAAAATCAGGATAAGATTCTGATTTTTAAAATTAAATAATAATTTGCCTTCTTAGTTGAAAAATAATATTCTTGGTAAAGAGAGTTGTAATCTGTCTATCCAAAAGGATGGAATAATCCTSTAAATTAAAGAACTACCAATTGTATTGTGTCTTGTTTTGACCAGCAAGTCCATAACACAATTTTGAACATCTTTTTAATGATAGGCGAATGCTGTCAACAGCTACTTTCCATACTGGGAGGAATAAATTTGTTATTGGCTACTTTCACACTCTGCACTAATGTCATCCATATGCTGCTTAGCAAAAGAATGGTGCATTTGTATGGCCATTCTCTCTCATGGCTTAAGCGAATCAATTCAATAATGAATTCAGTTTATAACTCTATCTCTTTTGGGGCATCAGAGCATGTCTATTCAGAATCACATTTTACTCTTTCTCCTTTTCTACTATCTCGCTGTCTTTGTTGCAGGGTATATCTGGATAACTGCACCTGGTGCTTGCTTATATTGATAAGGATAATTGCATGCTGCACATGTGCAATAAGCTATTTAAAAGCAAATTGTAATTTATTTATTTATTTTCCTTTTTAATATAATCAACTACTSTCTTTTTATTAAGCTGCACATTCTCTGTTTAAAGTTGAAATTTTGAATTGTCATTTTGTAATTGATAAAACAAAAGAAGATATAACCAGGCAACCATACCAAAGTACAAAACTGTTTTACTCCCACTGAGGTAAATAAATATGGTGAAACTAAATTAAAAAAACTTTCTCCAAGAAACATGTTGAGACACACGTGGCAAAATCAAGAGTGATTAGGCTTCTTTAGACAGCACTAGATTCTGTAGTATGTACTTCAGTCATGCAAAAAAMCCCTAGAATTTAAGGTTTGTGGGGCTTGATTATGTTCAGTTTGGTTCTTAGCTTAAAAGAAAGAAATCTTCAGAACTGAAGCTCTGGACTATTGACTCAKTTTTTAATATTTGAGATCAGATTTTTGGTGTTCTTTCTGTGAARTGACAGAATTGTTATATATACATTGAAGTGACGTATTGTTATATTCTCTGTCACAAACATTCTTTGTTGGAATATTTTATTGCAGGATTTTCAAATCCGTGCTGCAGCTCGTGAACTGAATTTAATTCCACCCTTGGTGGGACTACTGCAATCTGAATACCCGGTCATTCAGGTGTTAGCCCTTCGAACCTTAGAAGTAATGAGCAAAGACAGAGAAACCAGGATAATACTGGGAGAGAATAAGGGATTAGATCGCCTTGTGAATATACTGGAAAACAGTGTATGGTTTACTTGCTTTAAAACTTTTTTTTGTTCCTGATGCTGATGTTTGTATGACTAATGAGAAATATTACTTATTTTATGGAAGAATTATATAAGAGAGTTCCTTACTTGGAGTGGACTATGATGGAAATAGGATAAGTTGGGATATCTAGTTTACTAAGAAAAGAAGCAAAGACATTCCCCAAAGTGTTTATTGAATTTACTTTATATATCAATGGCCTTGGACACAATTTCCTACCATTGTTTATGTTACTATGAGACTCAGTTTAGTGCTTCTTGAGTTCAGGTGTTGCAATGGGCAGTATAATGCATAGAAATTAGTGAAGTTTCCAAAGTTTTAAGATCGCAGGCCCATTCTGAGTACYTGTCTGACCCAYTTCGATGCAAATAAGAAACTTCTGRGAGTTTTACTGTTTTTAATAAAATGTGTTGCATCCTAAGGCATCATCAAATAAAGTATATGAAAATATGAATTTGTTAATACGTACTTGGTAGTATGAATAAACTGTCCAAAAGAAAGTTACAACAATTATTGTGCAAACTTAAAAGCCAAAGATATTTYAATCCTGATTTCAAGATTGTTTGTTTGTTGGGGTTTTTTTAAATTAGGAACTCAATGATCTACATATTGAAACTCTTGCTGTGTTGGCAAATTGTCTCGAAGATGTGCAGACTCTGCAGCTGATTCAGACAACAGGAGGCCTTAAAAAACTACTTTCATTTCTAAAAGTCTCAACTGTTCCTGATATTCAGAAGAACGCAGCAAAGGCAATTACTAAAGCAGCTTATGACTGTATGTGACTTTTTAATAATCCATGGACATGAATTTGTTTATGAAATGAATTTTTATCCATGCTCTCTGGTTGAACGTAGTACTTGTGCAGAGGAAAACACTGGCAAGAATTAATTGAAGTGATGACTCTTGCCAGTCACAGCAGCAATTGGATGCTAGGAGGTATATATGTATATGTATGTGTATATATGTATACGTATATGTATATGTATATGTATGTGTATATGTATATATGTATACGTATATGTATACGTATATGCATATGTATATGTACATGCATATGTACATGTACATGTATATGTATATGTATATGTATATGTATATGTATATGTATATGTATATGTATATGTATATGTATATGTATATACACACAGAGATATATATGTATTTAAATGTTAATTTTGCCTCAATTAACTTTTAAATTTTTATATGAATATATTGTAAAATGCTGTCCTCACAGAAAAATGAAGCTCTCAAAATATGATCCTTGTCTTTTGTTTAGTGATGCCAACTGACTGCCATCTTAAGCCACCTTTGCTGGCAATGTTTTCTCSCCACTATCTGTTAAGACTTCTTTGCAAGCTGACTTCCTTTTGCATTCAACTGCTCGTCTAAATGTCAGGCAATTTCAAATACAAATTCCTTTAACAGAGGCATGAAAGGAAACCTTTCAAATGGCTTGCAGGTTAATATTCCCAGTGGAGTTAAATAGTTGCATTGTAATCTTTTTATAATTATTMATCCTATAGTTCTTTTTTATATGCTTTTTTTTAATTCATCAAGGAATTCTGAATTAGGCAGAACAGCATTTATACCYAGAAGGATGCTCTTTTAAATAAAAYTACATTTGAAATTTYTTCARTATCTTGGCTATTGAGTTGCAATGTGTGCCAAGTAGTGTTGTATAATAAAATGCAATGGAACTAACTACATACTTCTGACTATAGAAGATGTTACTTTTGTCAAGGCATTTCTATGACAGTTGAATTTAAATATTTCTATCATATTTCTGGCACCTTGTGGTTGAATCATGACTTTAATTTATGTGTATTTAAAAATATGTCATTTAATTTAATACATGGATAAAATAATCTGTCCTTTCTGACATATTTCAGTYTTCCTTTCTTCTCTCCCCATACTGTCTTTCCAATTCTCTTCTCACTTTGCTTAGTTTGATGTCCTGAATATTTGTAATTATTTGGATTGAAATTTATACACAAAAAGAGTGCCCTAGTATTCTGTGGGGTTATCTGTGCTTTAGTCATTATCTGTTGGCAGCTTGGCAAGTCACAGAAAATTGTTTTCATTAATGTTCAGGTATCAAAGATAGGAAGGGAGTCTTTTCTTTGTGTATTTTCYTGTGTTGTTATTTTATTATACTACTTAAGACTGTCACTATCATTTTTATAGTCCTGTGACAGGCTTGTAAGTTGTATGCTAAGCAGATTTATATTTGCTCCTACTTCTTTCCGCTGCATCTTACTCCTTTATCATATTTATTTTCAAATAAGCATAGCCTTCTTTTCCTCTTTCACACTTTTTTCAGTTTTTGTGGCCTAATATTTTAGCAGCTGTTAGTAGAAACATGCCTGAGCACATTTTTAAAGCACGGTGGCAAGAACCACACATAATATATTACAGTACTGCCTATGATCTTATATCATGGGATGTTACCGTCAGTGAAGATGCATCTTCTTGTCATGCTTCTTTACAAATGGAGTCAATGAGGTTTCATTATAAAGGTTTGCTCTCTTCTTCAGCCTATGACAGTTAKTATGGATGTAGCAAGCTGGGAAAATACATCAAAAGAAGATATAAAATATTTGCTTTCAAGCTGTAGAATTTTGGTGACAACCAGTTAGACAAAAGGTAACTTGCTGTCCTGGTGCAGTGGAAAACATAGTACAGAAAACTTGCTGCTCAATGTGGGCTCCAAAAGCACTGAATTTTTCAGATACAGTACTCTGTACTTAWGACAAAAAATGCTGCTTTTCATTGGAATGAAAAACCTACTTCTGCGATGACAGAACAAGTATCTAGCTGGGTTTTTAATCCTAGCAGCTGAGTATACAGCAGTATCTGGTTTWGAAATTATTTTTGTTGACAGATGGAATTTAGTTTTGGATTGKTTTTTTTTTCCTGATAGATGTGATCATAGCAAGTAGTTTTATTTTATGTCSCTTTCAACTCTTTGGAAAGGGACTCCTGTAACTTGGTGTTATGGTTATAAGATATATTTATCCCTTATGAGGTATTCTCAATATCAGAATAAATTACATGGTATAAACATGATATTCAACTTTAAATAGCATTCTTAGGATGCTGTTCTGTTTAAGTACATTAAAATGGATTGTATTTCTATACATCATTTCTATAATCATTATGCATTTGTCCCTAAATTTTGTTTTGTTCTGTAATATAATTTTGAATTTAATATAGTAATTTATTGATGATTTTGTTTTGTGTGCTCAGAATTATAGTGGTGAATTACACTGTGATTTCTGCCTGGCCCACCAAATAATGCAGTCATTTCAGAAGGCAAAATATAATCTGATGCTATAAATTATTGAATGTCTGTGAGTGGATTATCTGGATTGTTGATTAAGAAGGACCTGATTTTCCCCTGACAATGTCAGATACACCAGCAACAACAAAATGCTGTGGAGTATATATGGAGAAAGTGATGATCATGCTTGCTCTGCCAAACTTCTGGTTTGAAGCTCTCCCCATTATTTTTGTGTATCTCAATGCATCTCATGCAYTGAGAAGGGAAGTACACTAAACATGCTCTGTACCCTGATTAACATGCATTTCATARTACAGATCTTTGTTTATCTGGGTTATCTCAAGTCAAGATCAAAGAGAGGTCATGATACTATTAAACATTAACTTTTTTTTTCATTTGAAATTGCTRTAAATAATACCAAATAATAATACAAATTATACCAAATTAATAATACCAGTAAGGTAGTGGCAGTAACCTGAATAGGTGATCAATAGAACTCAGGTCATGACTTTGGGGTAAGAAGGGGAAATAATAGGAAAATATATTGAAAAATAAAAGTTGTCTCACCATGGTGTCAAGGCATGAAAAACTGGACAGAATGGTTTATCCTCCAGATACTTTTAGGTATGTGTTCTTGATTTTCCTTCATGTTAAATCAATGTATTCAAATAACTTAGAAGTCCAGAAATTCATCACTGTAAACATGGTGTTGGCACTTACATATGAAGTACTTCAGTATAAACGATGCTTTTCAATTGTGCATTCTTTCTTGTCTGTAGTAAAGGAAACAAAGGAAATAACTCATCACACAGAGTCAGCAGAAAATGTTCATCCTTTAAATAGAATTGGCACCTGGGTATTGAAATATTAATAATTTTCATTGAYCTAGGTACCTAAATATACAAGCATACTCTTTACCATAAGCTCAAATTAAAAATCTGTTTTTCCACATTATTATAAATTCTTCTTTTGTTTGAAATATTTAAAATTACTAGTTTCATGCTTTCAAATTAATTATTAATATTATTTCATAGACATAAATTATCTTCAACGTAAAACACAGATCATCATAGCTGCCCTGAAAAGCAAGAATAATTTTTAAGAAAATCAGTATATTAATAAATAACTTGCTGTACAAAAAAMCAAATTACTGAGGCATGAAGAACCTCTAGAGATCATTATTTGGGATTATGGACTACTTTGTCAAGCAACAGGCCAGCAACACACTTGATAGCTTGTCAAAATGGTCTTTCCCTTGAGAGCTGGCTGATATGCATCAAGGTTGTGGCAAAGTCCTGCTGACACTTAAATTCCTCTCTGTTTTATTTGTTGCATCTTTTTTTTTGTGATTTCATTTGTGTATCTGAGAATTCTAAAGAAGTTTAAAACTGAGCTGAATGGGTGAAAGTGACTGCACCTGTCTCATCTATATGCTTTGAGTAATTTCTGCTCTAATTACATTTTCARTCAAACTTGCTTTTCATTGACTTTGCAGACTTGTATTTGTTTGCTTATATTCACTACAGATTCAGATTTATCTAAAAGAATACTTACAATATTTTTTTCTTTAATTTTTTTTTTTATTTGGAGGACAGCAATCAGCACAGTAGCTGATTGCTGATAAAATTGCTAAATATTTTGAAACCCCACTGACTTCTCAGTTCCTGAATTTAATACATTCAAAAATTCTACCATGTAGTTATAACTTCCAGCATGCAATTAGTCTGGTTTAAATTATGCATATGGTTAAATGTTTATTGACTCTCATCATTATAGAGCTTCTTGGCTGTCCAGTGCCTTTCTGCATTAGAAAGTTTCTTTCAGGGCTCTTTCTAAGAGACACCCACATTTCTGATRCTATCCATTTAGGGAGAAGGGAGTTATCAGTTTATTGTTATCTACATACAGGTGTCTGTAGATACTTAGTAGGCACTGTGTGTTGTTATTTGTGTAGAGGAAGGAGCATCTCTGTCCTGCAGCTATGCTGGTCAGTGCAGTGTAGGTCAGCAGTGAACCAGGCKAAACTGCAAAATTCAAATTCTCTGCAAAGGGGACATTAACAAAGAACTACAAGCTGTGCGGAATTTAAAATTTTCTTAGTAATTCTCCTTGCCTTTTTTTGGCTCTTTTAGTATGTTGGGTGGTATTTCACCAAGTTCAGTTGTACATTGACTGGTGTGTTCTTCAATTTTATGCATTTGGACTTTGTTAGCATAACCTGAAGTCAAGCACAATCCTGAGTMAGTCTGATCTGTTGCATTGGAAAAGCTGTTTCCATCAAGCCTGTATGCATTCTGTGGTTTTAAAGGCTTACAGAGAACAAACTTTGCATTCTGTTGGGCYATGTATGTTTATACTGTGTTTAATAGTCATCATTTGGGCTTGATTCAGAGTTCAGTGAAGCCTAATCTGGGAGTTGGACTTGGATGATCCTTGTGAGTCCCTTGCAGCTCAGGATGTTCTAAAATGGGTTTGGCTCTGGTCCTTTGTGCACATTTGTTAAAGGCTGCTTCCTCTGTTACCAAAATATTTCTCACAACTAAGTGAAATAAAATTAATGTTCTTTCACTGATTTGGAAAACAAATGCAGATTAATTCTATTGTTATTTCTCATTTAAAGCTGAAATCCGAAAAATCTTACATTGGGAGAAGATTGAGAAATTCCTCCTAAGCCTTTTGGAAGCTAAAAATGATGTCAAAATTGCTGCTTGCCAAGCAATTTCTGCCATGTGTGAGCATATAGACAGTAAATATATCCTTGGACTCGAGGGTAAGTAAGGTGGAAGATGATGAAATGTGAATTTATGTTTTTTTCTGTTTGTAAGGAGAATATTATAACCTTCTAGACTGCCATATTTATTTAAAGGTTCATATATACCATTATTTCTTTCAAAGGGATTCCTCAGCTAGTGCATTTGCTTAGCAGTGAYAATGAAGAGGTAAAAGAAGCTGCAGTGACAGCATTAGTTAATTTGACAACAGCCAGTCCTGGAAATGTAAGGTGAGTCTGCAATAATTAAATAATTATTTAAAATGCTAATCTGAAGTGATAATATTTTGATTTTTAAAGAATGCTTCATCTTGTCCTTATCCTACAAGGCAGGTCTGTTTGAATTTGACTGTAAGCACTTTTTGGTGCTTATGGATCACTAGAATAGCTTGGTTCTCATCAGCATTACTGTTGTAGAGTTGTACTGTCTCTCCTAACATTTGCTTCATCAAGGAAAGGTATGAAGCAGATGCAATGAAAGCAGACATATAAGCMATGTTTTGAAGAGCACATATGAGCAAAATATGCCTTATAATCAAAAGCATTTGATGTGGAGCTCTTTTTGTAAATCAAAAACCATAGAGGTATTTTAAAAACTGATGCTTTGTACAACCTTTTTGACTGATCTAAATTCATTCTTTGAGGGAGATATATCTCCTGAATATTGGCATTGTTTTGCTCTTCTTTTTTTTTTTTTTTTTTTTTTTTTTTTTTTTTTTTTTTTTTTTTTTTTTTTTTTTTTTTTTTTTTTTTTTTTTTTTTTTTTTTTTNTTTTGTTTCCCAATTAATAGAGTATGCTTCTAGTGCATTCTCTGAAAGAAGTGTGACTTCAGTACCCAAAATTGCTAACAAAGGTAACAATGGTTAGCTCACTATGTGTTCCAAAACAATTGTATCAACTAAATTCTACTGTGAGCTGCAGTAGATAAAAGTGATGGTATTAAAAGTCCTGTTCAGGGAAAAGCAACAGAGCAGTGTGATGTACACGAGCAATCACATTAAACTTACAAACGAACAAAAATCCTTAAAAGTTTCCTGGAATATACTTTAAAAAGTTATACAAAGAATGATTCACAGGCATTCTTTGAAGTGAAAAAGTAAAAAACTCACAAAATAAATTATGTTTCAATTTATTGATTCAGCTCTAACAGTCCCTAGTATTCACTTAATGTTACCAGATAGAGCCATAATATGACACCAGAGGAATCTGTTCTCAGATTCACATAGTAAATTTTTTTTTTGTCTGATATTCTGCTCTCCTCGTGTGCTGGACTCTTCAGTTGGTGTCAGTGGGAGTCACACACACATAAAACAAGCACAGTTCTGGAGTCCAGAGGTCAAACTTTCAGTTCCACTACAGCTGTTTTTCGTAGTGCAGCCCTTTGAGGTTTTACATTGTGAAAAGGGGATCTCTGTAGCGTTTTCAGTTGGTATAGCAGCTTATGCCAACTCATTCCATTTTTTTTGCTAAGGAGATAGTCAGGACATTGTTTAGCTCAACTGCTGGAACAATTCTCTGAGACCTCAGGCAGGGAAATAGCTGTCTCTGTTCCTCTGCATTATAATGAAGTCCGTATTTGTTTCTTGCTGAGCASAGTCAGGAAATTGTAAAGGTGGCTTACATACACTTCTCTCTCTTTGCAGTCCAGTTTCGAGTACAATATGGAAGCACCAGATAATCTAATCACAGGTCTTCTGTGAAAATCAGGAAGCAATAATTTACATTAAATATGTATATTGGATGAATTCCATGTGACTATATAATTACTTCAAAGCTTCATTTCTAAATCAAAACCATTAATAAGTCATAGAAGAGTCTGAGTGTGACTAGGATCTATAAATGAATATATAGTGTTGAACCCTTAGCTGATACAAATTGGTGTAGTTCCAGCTCACTGACTGGCTATCAGACCCGTATTTATTTTACATTCACATAATAGGAAAAAAAATAGTTTGGAGAAAATTCATTCCAGATTGAGTTACCATAATCATATTTCATTCTAGAATGTTTCATTTGTATGTCCTGTAGACCGCTGAAAATAAGTATATAAATAATGAAGATGTTSATACACTTTTATAATAATGTGACTTTGCTGTGTGATTATGTTGACAATATTCTGATTTCAAATGAAACTGATAAGTCTAGTGCCCTTTTATCAGTTATGTATTAGATTCTTGTAAGAAACCCTCCAAGTATATAAAAACATAAAGGTAGTAGTAGCAGGTGCACCTTGTGTGGCAAAAACAAAATGGGTCCAGTGATGGGGAAAACTGTTTGCTGTAAGTGCTTTCGCTTTTTACTGGCCAGTCAAATATTCAACCTTGCTGAACTCGTATGCRTGCATTCTGCTCTTTTTCATTCCATGAGCATTTTTGTATATTATACTGATTGAAGGATGTGTACCTTGCCCTTTTATTTTGTATGGTGTATATTTGAGGATATAAAATGATTATAAGATGTTGCTATTTTTGCTGGAGATTTATTGTTCTTGATAGGAATATCAAAAAGTGCTGCCACCTTTTCATATAATATGGAAAGAATACAATAAAAAAATACACAAATTGTGTGTAATTAAAACTCCCACCATAGGTAGCTCATAAAGATAAAGTTTCCATTGATTAATAGCAAAGAACAGCATTGGCAATGGGCAATACTACCCCCCATTAATGTATATTAACCTTGACCCTTTTGTGCTTCCCCACAGCAATGAAAGGCTAGTTCTGTACCCTTACCCAATCAGTCCTTTGTTTCTCAACTGAGACAGGTTATAAAGGTGTCAGATATGGTGGAGGTTTGGTAAATAGAACACCTGTTCACRATGAACGGGACAGAGACCAGCTTGTCACGTGATTCAAGTCCTCAGGCAACCATGATTTGGCAAAAAGAAATAAATTAATGAATTAATATGTTTTTTAGAGTATTTTAACCAAAAATGTAGACCAGAAGAGGACATGAGTCCCATAAAAGTGGTTTGRGTTTTCAGGTTTACTGGAAAAAATGGATTTTCAATAGGATCTCYACCATAACACATAACAATTAATATAAATGGCTTCTAAAATATTTCACCATTTATGTTTTTGCTGCAGAGCTGATGGTGTGTCGTACTTCATTAGCACATAGAAAATCTACAGTGATCAAATGACTCGTTAGTTTACAGACTGACACCCCAAAATTATGCATTTACAAGAATTTTACCATAAGAACAGAGTTTTAATGCTGCTCAATATTGATGATAAATCCTTGTAAAYTTGTTAATAATTAGCCTAAGTAAGAACAAAATTGCAAAGTACATTGCAGTTTAAAAGCCCATGTGCTTATTCTAACGAGCTATGTTACCGTGTGTAGATAGCTCTGAGGTCATCTTTGAAGTATATGTCAGAATTTTCTTCTGTGRTGTGCTTCTGGAAAAAAAAGAGAATTATGTCCAGCTGGGTATTTGCATCCATCTTTTCCATCACATTTTATAATCCAGAGCAATAACTTGCTTTACTGAAAACTGTATACAGTTATTTGTACAGCAAAATGCCATTTTAAGAATCTCTGAAGCTTTCTGTTTCTGCTGTGTCCAGCCTTTGGGCAATGTGGGCGCAGTCACTTCAGTAATGGGCGTGATGCACAAATGGAACAATTACAAGCGAACAAAGAAACAGCAGCGTCATCTGTTGGGCAGGAAAATAAGTGATTCTGTGCCATACATCTAATCCTGGAACAAATGGCTTATCTCAGCCTCTGCATTTTTTTTTTTTTCATTTAAAGTATAATCAAAGATTTTCACTTCTCCTGTATTTATTTAGATAATTGTGTTAAATACAAATATGATACTAGAAGTAGCACATAGAAATAAAATCTCAAGTGTACCAGTTGGACATTAATTTGACCAGCTCTTTTCTTCAGTATTGCCGTAGCACAAATGCCATTTCTAATAGCTGCCTTCATGAATCTGGCAATGTCTGAATTCCAGGCACCTAATGGATTTGCCACTAAAGAAAGACATGTGCTCTGGAACTTAGAACTTCGTGCTGGACATGAAAACTAATTGACAGCCTCAAATAATATTTGTCCTAAATTGTTTGTTTTAAGTGCAAAATTTATAGCATTCAGTTAGAATTTGGTCTGGGGGAAGAAGGAAAAGAATGTTTTTTCTTCATCTGTACCAAGGGCTGCAGGAAGTTGTGGTACATGACAGACATATGACAGAACATTTATATAGGGGTTTACAGTAAGTGTAATGTGACAAATTTCTGTATTATATCTTGATTCAAGACAGTAAAGTATCCCAAAATTTACAAAGTCAGCAAACTTATGTTATTTAATTTTCTAATTTTTAAATTCTTCACAGGAATCAGAGAACCAATTTAAATTCGCAAAGGTTATATCCATATAGGGAGCTCTAGGTATTAGCACAGCATCTGAATGTGTGCCTTCTCAAATGGGTCAAGATTGTCAAGATTTGAGAGTAGCTGGGATAGGAGGAGAAGTTGGGAACTCACTGGTTATGGACAGTGCCCAGTGAGGAGTAAGTCAGTTGTTCCCTTGACATTAGTGGATGTTGTATCTATTCCAAACTGAAATTCATATACTGATCTAATGACTCAAAATACAATCCTCAGTCTRTTCCACCTGTAGTCAAAGCGTCTCACCTTTTTAAACTGAGATTTTCAGTACACAGCAGATTTTTTCATTGTTTGTAAGGTGAGTATGSCTGTCAAGGAATGAATTTGAAAAACATCCAGTTTTTCTTACATTCTGAATATCGTTATTATTAGGAAGTAGTGATTACTGCAATTAGGTAGTAATATCACTATGTATTAATCTTCCCATTAGAAAATGGGAAACTTAGTAGTAGCTTTTCTCTTTCAAGACTAGATGGAACCTAATTCCCATAAATATTGAAGTGTCAATATTATGCAAGATAACACATTTGCATTAATGTATGTGTTAATTTATGAGAACAGGAACACAAATTTCTACATTCTATAAGAGCTACATTTAATAGCATAAATAGGTGATAATCCATTGTAGGTTTTGTCTTTTATGGTTTAATTGTTCTTTAAGATATAAGTTTGTTTTTCTGAAGGAGGAAATCAACAATGGAATGCTGCTGGCGGTATTGTGTAGATGTAATATGTTTTAATACTGACCCCTAGTGACAGAATTATATTTTTGAGCTAATGTGCTTCAAGGTAAAGGGATTTTTTTTAATTTTGTGGGTCATGCTGTTACTTTTTAG